TCTCTCTCTCTCTCTCTCTCTCTCTCTCTCTCTCTCTCTCTCTCTCTGTTTTTGCTTCAGCTATAAGCTCTTAACTGTTGCTCCAGCACCATGCCTGCCTGCCTGCCGCCACTCTCTTCACTATGGTGGCCATGGACTCTAACCCTTTGGGCCCCAAATTATATAACTTTATAAATTATATAATTCATAAATTATATAACTTTTATAAGTTACTTTGTTTATGGTGTTTTGTCATAGAAAAGTAATAAGAATAGAAATAAAACTAAGAGCTAATTAAAAAGTAACTAATGCAGTTACTGCTATAACATTAATGCCACTATTGCACCCGTGAACATATCTTGCCACAGTGGTCATTCCTATAGCTCACGGGTTGAACTAATTTTGGCAAGTAATGTTAGTAAAGGTCCAACTTCATTCTCATGCTCATAGATACCAAGCTTTCCCACTAGAATCTGTTAAAAAGGATTGTCTTTTTCCATTGAAAGATGTGGCACTTTTATGAAACATCTGTTTAGGGATTTAAACAAAAACCAACAAACCTAAGAACTCTTGTAGTGAGACTTCCTTTGAATTTTCTACTTCATGGGTCCCAGGGCATCACCATGTCTAACTGTACCACTCTGTTACAGACTGAGAATGGGCATGCATTTCTTGTTATTTTGTGGTTTTTGTTTTTGAGACAAGGTCTCCCTGCTTGTTATTCTGTACCTATGTGTAACTGAGCACTTTTCCTTTTTATTTTCTGGAGTTAATTTGATCAGTGTTGTCAGGCCATGTCAGCCCATGTTACCTGTTGAGCATGCTACAATAATTTGGTGCTTGGCATGCTGTAGGCAGCTAATGAGCTACCTACCCCTCAGCATCCTTTGGGATCATACAGATTTGCCTGAAGGCTCCCCTTGCTCCCAAAGGCACTAAAGTCTTCAGATGCTCAAGTCTTTTATACACGACGACATAGTATTTGCACATAGCATCTGCCTGCATACTTTAAATGATCTAGATTATGCTAACACCTCACAGTATCGATGCTACATAAATTGTCATTATAGTCACTGATTGTAGAGTAACAGCAAGGAAAGCTGTTCACATCCTTTATAGTTTGGCTACAAACCCCTTCCATCTGTGGTTGGTTGGACACGTGGGTGTGGCCTCCATAAGGAATTTTCGTAACTTCTCTTTCCTCTACCCAGGGAGCAGCAGGGGTGGGGTACCTGCCTGGGATTCATTTCCTAACAAATTGAACAAACAAATGAGCCAAGGACAGTTGGCTATTGGGACAGTGGAAGTGGTTGGTCGCTGTGTGAGAATATGTGGCAGGGATGGCCCTTAGCTAGGTTCTCCTCCTTAGTCCCATTTTTCTAGATCTCATTCCTGCTCCCACTCTGGACTTTGGGTCAGCTCAGGCCTCTGCCTCCAGATGTCTCTTTGTCCTGGGTTGTTCTCAGGTTAGCTTGTCCCGAAGTCTCCAGGGAAACCTGTCTACAGACAGGTCCTGAGTCTAAGTCTGCAAACCCGGGCTCTCCCTTGTTCCTCTTCAATGGCTCTGCTGAGCCTTTAGTTTCCTTGTCTATAAAGTAGTAAAAGCGATTGACCATTCTGCTGTGTACAATAGAGGCTGGGCTGTAGTGTTGGGCACCCGAGAAGTGGCTTGTCTGAGGCACCCCCTCCAAGACCACTGGTGTCATCAGACATTGCCTAATGGAGAGCCAGAACAGGTGTGCCCCACATCCCAGCATCTCTGAACAGTGTGTACAGAGCAGGCAGCTCCCTGATGCCTCTGAGTGTGAAACGTGTGTCTTCACACTCATCTACATTTCTCTGTCCAGAGGTTTTATTCGTCAATTTCTTCAGTCTCCAGCAACATTAGTAAGCATTAGGATGGCTGGTTTCACAAGGCTGGTGACAGTGTCGAGGAGAGCAGGTGGCCTGGTGGCAGCTGGTGGGTTGCTGGAACAAACGTGAGCCTGTTTGAGACAGCATCAGAGATGCTGAGCGGGTGTAAGAGCGGGGCATAGGGATGCAGAGCCCTGGGGTCCTCTCAGCAAGCTGGGCTATGGCGGCTGGCCTTCAAGAACTCTTTCCATCTTTCCCCACAAAACCTCTTCTCTCACGTTGTGTTCAGGTCTGATAGAGAGGCCAGAGGGGCCTACTCTAGTTTCAGCTGCTGGGTGGGCGGGTGGGGGTTCTGCTATGCGGCTCATGTTTCCACACACTTCCTCAGCAGCCCCTCCTCCCAATGGTCTTTTAGTCCGAGAAGCCTTCCTGACTCCCTCCATGCATTCTTTGCTGCCTTCCAACTTCAACTTGCGCGAGCACTCAGCTGTCTTTGCTCCTATGGCAGCTCTTGATCTGGCCATGGACCTGTATTCTGACTACTGATGAATCCAGACAAAGTCACCGATAGCTCCTGTCTTATCTACATTGGCATCCCAAACGGTGTTCTCAGTCTGTGTGCTGGCTAGTTTTATGTCGACTTGACACACGCTTTAGTTATCTAAGAGAAGGGGACCTCAATTTAGGAAACGCCTCAGTAAGATGCAGCTGTAGGCAAGCCTGTAAGGCATTTTCTTAATTTGTGATTGACGGGGGAGGGCCCAGCCCATTGTGGGTGTTGCCATCTCTGGGGTGGTAGTCCCGTGTGCTATAAGGAAGGAGACTGAACAAGCCACTAGGAGCAAGCCAGTAAGCAGTACCCTCCATGGTGTCTGTGTCAGCTCCTGCCTCCAGATTCCTGTGCTGCTTGAGCTCTCTCCCCGATGTCCTTGGAGAGGACCAAGACCAAGACCAGAGGTGAAAAGTAACACGTAAGCGCAAGCAAAATAAACCTTCCCCTCCACAATTCGCTTTTGAGAAACCGTAAGAAATCCTATCTAGCCTTGATCAGTATTTTTCTTCCTTCTCCTCTCCAGGGGCAGGATCCCTCAAGACCCAGATCACCTAATTCCGACTAATCCATTAATGGCCACCAGCTTCCATTTTGTCTGAGGCTGTTCAGCTCCACATTGAGAGGCCAAACTGCCAGGCACGCGTGCCGAGCACAGAAGGGCGTGTGCTCTGTGTTAGCAGACCATCAAATGCCACAGATGTTTATGCAGGGTGTGAACATGCTTTCAAGTGGTCTACCGTTCTGACTCACCTGCCTCTTATCTCTGGGCTAAAGGAAGGCTAGCCAGGAGTGGGAGGAGCACTCAGATTACCATGGAAACCAGCAGTTGGGAGGTCAAACTCATAAGCAAGTGAACCTGGTCGGGTAGTGGTGGGGAGTCCCCCAGCCTCTGCACCCAGAACAGTGCTTGGAATGAATCAGTTTCTAGTGGAGAAAGGAACAAGGTTCCCCAAGTCCAGGAGACTCCCTCAGGTGTCAGCACATCTTACCCCTGAGCACCCTCATTCACCTTTGCAGAGGTCAGCTCACCTCTGCAAAATTACCAGACGAGCTACCCAATACTGACCAGGGCTGAGGTCATCAAGGTCATCAATAGTATTCACCTGATCCCAGAGAGGTGACCACAGAGAGGGAAAAGCTGAGGGAACATGGGAATCTGGCAGCAGATAGATCTGAGTTCCTGCCCTGGCTTCTCACGTCTTAGCTTCACGACCAAGACCAGTCATTGAGTCTTTCAGTTGCTGAGTTTCCCTGGCAGTAGATGTGTTCATGAACATCTGTTGTGTGTAGATGGCAGAGCGAAAGGCTAGCTCAGCAGATGGAGCCGTCTACAAGATGCAAAACCTTCCTGCAGTTCCACCCTGACCAGGGGAAGGGATGCAGCCTTTCCCATTGGCGGCGCTAGGCAAAGCATGCACCTCAGATGCTCATTGGGGCTGAAGTCCGGCTCAGGGCTTGAGGCAGACTGCCTACAGGCTCCCATGCTCCTGTTGAAGTAGATTCCTTCATCAACATTTCCAATGTTGTAGTTCATGCTTTCGATTTTGCAAAAAGGGCGATCCCCTCCACCCTGCAAACTGGGGCAACTTTAGAGAGATCGTCTAAAGTACCTGGTAGTACCTGACCTCAGTTTCCATCACCTGCGGCCATCTGGTCAGCAGCGAGCTCTCTGTGGGCAGCTCTGGGTCCTTGGATGGTAGGAACAGAGGCTGTGGCCGCACTTTGCTAAGTGGCTGTGAGGCACACCCCAGCAGCCCTTTGGAACCAGTGCCAAGCAGGCCTGAGTAAACACACCCTCATCTGGGAGGCCCCTCTGGCCTTCGCCCAGAGTGGAGGACACTGGGTGGAGATCCCCAGGACTCAAGTCGAGAGTTGTCTGGAAGCAACCACACTGGGACAACAGATGTTAGATCTGCTCTCCTGTTGGCTTTCTGAACCTGCTCATTAGGATGCAGGATGTTCCCTCTTCCTGGTTCTCCTTTCATCTCAGCACCAAGGAATGAGCTGGACCCTTCTCTGCTTGCACGGAAGAGACTGACTTGCTGGGGTCTACCTAGCACTTTGAACTTTGCCTTCCAACCACTGTCACCTCTACCCCTGGACTTTGCCCAGACTGAAGTCGCCCTCCTGCTAAAGTCTTAACTCTTAGAAGGATGGCTACGTGTTTGCTAGATGAGCAAGGAGTGGCACTGGTGCTAAGGTCTGCCACGCCACCATCAAACAGAGGCAGGGAGTCTCCAAAGAGTAGCTTTGGCATTGGCTTTGTAGCAAACAGATGATGGAATCCATGTGTGGAGTTATTCTGAGGAGCATATTGTCACACATGTCATCTCAGTTACACTCTTCCCACAGTCATGCTGGGAGCCACCGAGGCATTGTCATTGCTACCATTTTTCCCCCCCAAGAGGAAGTTAAGGCTTGAGCCACAGGCTCATAGCCCATGTTCAGGGTGGCACCTGAACAAACCCAAGCTGGAGTGCTGAAGCCTTCACCCGCGGTCCCCCGAAAAGCCGCAGGAAAGGGTCAACTAAAACCTTAATCTTCAGTACACAATAATATCCGGTTAGGTCGTTGATAGTCACGGTTTGGGCTTTCATTGTATTTAATTTTATAATCCCTTTCTGTTGATTACACGTGAGACTGGTTTTCCATTTGTGCAACCGATGCCATCTCTTTCTAAAGAAAACATTTTGAGGGGATTGTTTTTCTTTCAAGCCTAAAGACAAATGCAAAGGGGCCGGGGACAGGAGAGCACCCAGTTACAGCAAAGCTCTGGGCAGACAGACCCCGGAGACTTGGCCTTGCCTCTGCTGAACACCTACTTTGCAGACAGACTCCACTTGCTTCCTGATGCATCTGTCTCCCACTGCTGGATGGTAGTCCCCTGCCTTTTTCTTCAGTTCCCTGGCAAATCACGTGCTTTTAAAGTGCAGAACCTGTGACGCCTCACAAGCCGCTGGGCACCAAGCGCAACACTCGGGAACTCCTGATGATTGACAGATTCGTCTCTGGTGGGCCTAACTGAAATCCTATGGCAGCACCTTGGCCTCGACATCTGGTGTAAAAACAATCACTTATTCATAGCACCGAAGAAGAGGCAGGAGCCAGGGTTGGAATTTATCACTGGAGTCGCCGGGCATCCCCCTCTCTTTAAAGGCTTGGTTTGAGCTGTGGGGCCCAGGATAGGAGAGGATATGAGGGGCTCTGTGCTCTAAGGCGCTCTGAGGGAGCTAGAAGATAAAGGGAGGCGAAGAACGAGGTATATTTCTTCTAGATAATAGAATGTGTAAGCACTTCTGGTAAACTACATAGCTAACATCTCAACCCACTCTGTATCTTAATTTCTTCTGTAAAACTGACCCGGTGGTGATGATGGTGATGGCCAAGACCAACCAGCAAGGTCCAGAAGGTGGAGAATATAACTGTTTTAATGTTTTCGTAGTTTGCAGTTGGCTCGGGATACAAAGATAGGCATGTGCAGGTGCGTGTCTGTTAAAGTTGGGCTTGATGTGGGTCCTCAACCTGTGCCACTGTCACTCCAACGCTCCAGCTCTCCACTCCACGGTGTTCTGTTGCCCTTCAGCCTAGTCAATACCTCCTGGCACATGCCCATGGCTCCAAATGGCGATGTGCCTGTCTGGAGAGTAAGGGCTGCTTGTTGAACCTTGGAGTTTGTAACATGTAGTATAGCATCCACGGCCCCTCCACCACCCTGCTAGCCAGCTTGTCTCCTCCTGAGTGATGTATGCTGTGAATATCATTGGTTAGTAAAGAAACTACTTTGGGCCTATGGCAGAACTATAGGGGAAAGAGCTAGGCAAGCAAAGAGCTGGACAGTAAAGAATTACAGATACACAATAAGACAAATTCAGACATTTAAAAAAAAACCTCTAAATGTGTCACAGTGTTAGATAAATGTACTTAGGCTTGGGAGAGAGAAGAAAAAGAATATAGAAGAAGTAAATGGTTTTAAAAATATATAAAACAACGTCTTTAAAGAGATAGAGTAAAATAAATATTAAACTTGTAGAAAAAGTAATAGAATAAAAAATATAAGTCACATAAAATACATGAAAGCCATGAAAAATACACAGATAGTCTGAATTGTGTATATTGTGTTTTCTTTGATTTTTTTTTATTTTGACTACAGAGAGACATTTGATTCTGGGAATTGCTAAGCTAAACCAACATATGTACTTTAAAGGTATTTTGTCTTCAAAATATGAGTCTAAGGATATGTTGCTTTAGAAAAGAGGCTCTTCTTTTGTTTCCACAGAGGATGAGAACCTGTGGATTGCTTCCAGACTAATATAGTTTGATGGACCATGACCCCCTGAAAGGTCACCTTGAACACCCCTCAAAAAATTACTTCATCCAATAAATAGCAGGAAGAAATATGGAGAAGAACTACACCTATATTCCCAAATATTGTTTATAAATGTTTCTTTACATTTAAAGGGGGATATGCTATAGAAATTTGCTCCTGGCAGCACCAGTGTATTTCAAGAGGAAGATGGGCAGCAAAGAGGCTCCTTATGGAGTTTGTTAGCCATTTGGGCAAGAAACTGCTCTTGCCTGGGCTGCTTTATGGTATGCTATGTAAACTGAACTCGCAGGGCCCACAGAGAGATGACTGCTGAACTCGCCTAAAGGTGATACCATCCTTCAGGGTTCCTGCTTCATCAAAGAGTCTGCTAGACATTCTGGAGGATACGGAAAAATGTGACTGTCAAACTGCCAATATAGGTGGAACTGTCTTTGAAATTTCCTGCTTCATGGAAAAGTCTGCCAGATACTATGGGCCTCTAGGTTGAAGATGGGTGCCCACAACATTACAGAAGACCTTTGGGTGACTGTCCAGGTAGTGAGATGTCTCTGTCAATTCTAGAGTTTTGTTGAGTTGCTAACAATGCACTTTCTGCTAACTTAGGTAATATTATATCCTTCTGAAGTCTTTGATGGAGTTGAAGAATTTGTAGTTACAGTTTTCCTTAGTTATGATAAAATATAAAGTAGATATAAATATTAGAACTGTAATTATTGCTTGATACCTGTTTTGCTGTATATAATTTTACTATGTTAAAGTTAAAACCTTCCTGTCCATTAAACAGAAAAGGGAAGATGATATGGGATTCCCCTCTGTATGTTGTGAACATTGGTTAATAAAGGAACTGCTTTGGGCCGATAGCAGAGCTCTAGAGGAACAGAGTTAGGTGGGGAAAACTAAACAAAATGCTGGGAGAAGGAAGGTGAAATCAGAGAGAAGCCATGTAGCCCTGCCAAAGACAGATGCCAGAAATTTAGCTGGTAAGCCACAGCCACGTGGTAAAACACAGATTAATGGAGATGGGTTAAACTAAGATGTAAGAGTTAGCCAATAAGAAGCTAGAGCTAATGGGCCAAGCAGTGATTTAATTAACACAGTTTCTGTGTGATTACTTTGGGGCTAAATGGCCAGGAACAAACAAGTAGCCTTCCTCCAACATCTGAGTCTCAGACTTTTCACCTGACAAGTGGGCAGGTGGTGGCACTCACTTGCTTGATGGGTGTGAGCAAACTGAGATGAATTCACCAAGTGTCAAGTTTAGGGGTGGGATTTGGGGCACTGAAGGGGTCAGATAGGTGTGACCCATTACCCCTAATGACCTTACTGGGAGACGTTCCCACTAATTGTACAGGAACTGGCATTTTGTGACAACTCTCTCACTTACTTCTCTGGTCACTATAACTAAATACTTAACAAGAAGCAACTTACGGGAGAAAGTCTTTATTTTTGTTTCCAGTTTGATGGGATTCAGTCTATTCTGGTGGCAAAGGCTTGGTGGCAGTATCACGAGACAGCTAATCACATTGGATCCGCAATCAGGAAGCAAGCAAACAGGGGATGTGAAGTGGGGCCAGATAATAAAACCTCAAGGCCTACCCTGAATGACCCACTGTGTCCAGCTAGGCTCGGTTCTACAACCTTTGGGAAGAACGATTAGCCGGGGACCCAGCGTTCACATGCGTTACCCTGGAGGGAGGGCATTTCACATTCAGGTCGCTGCAGAGGGTCTATGGAAAAGCCCTGGGTCTTCCTAAGGATACCAATAATGGGGGACCCAGTGCAGTTGGAGGGGCTGGCATAGTCTTTCCCAGGAAGCGGCTCTTTCTCTGTGATGGGGGGTACAGAAGGGTGATCTGCAAAAAGCCACTGGTAGGCCGACTTCACACTGCTTCCTGGAGCAAACTGAAAGGAACTCTGCAGCCATTTGGGTCCCTTGGGGTGCGTGCTACCCCTGTGGTACCCTTCCTGCCCCTCTCTTCACTCTGCTCTCTTCACCCATGCTAATGCCCAACCCCTCGATGCTCAGCACACCACAATGGACCCAGGAGCATCCGAGCCTGGGGATGGTGACCTGAACCCTCAGAGATCATGAACAAAACAAAATCCATTCTCTCTTAACTTTTCTTCTCAGTTCTCCATCACAGCAAGGAACAGCCAAGACGCCAGCCCTGGCATCGTGTTAATTAAGGATTTGTTTTTGTCTCCTTGTCTTCCTCGCACAGAGGCACTTCTTGTCTCCACACAGTGCCATCTCCCTGAAGGTACTTAATGAAGAGCGGCGTGAACAAAGAAACAAACACAGAAGATGCCTTTTGGATCGATGTGTTTTCACAGTGACTACGGTTGACAGTTCTGTAAACTAAGAGTTTAAGCCGAAGGTTTTAAGGAAAAATAACACCAAACTCTTTCTCCCCTCCCCACCCCTCCCAGGGTTCTGGCAGACTCCCGGGCTCTGAGAAGGTAGCCGGGTAAACCTTGGCCTCTTTTGGATTTCTGAACTTGAGTTATGACTTCCAGGCTGAAGAGCATCATCCCTTTGTTTAACTGCTGTCCTGCTGAGGCCATTGCTCTGGTCTTTTGGAAGAAAATGGTTTTCACACGAGAAAATGTGGAGCTCATTAAACAACACAATTGTGAAATTTTTTTCTGAAGGAAACTCATCAGACCCAGTGTTTGAGAGACTCTGAGGAGAGACTTGGGTTGAGGCTTAGGAGTTGCAGAATCAGCAGCCACGCAGGATCCTGTCTTGCCTTCAGCCCTCACCCCTTCCTTTCTGCCAGTGGTTTGTTCTGAAACCCTGGAAAGGTGTAAGACAAACCTTAGTGGGCCAATTCAGTCTCTCCCTCTCTCTCTTTCTGTTTGAATTAGGGGATTTTATTACCTCTTTGGGAAGTTTATGCAATGTATTTTAATCATATCTACCCCGTCTCCCAGTTCCTCGCCGATGGACCCCATTCCTAACCCCCACAACTCTGCTCTTTCGATTTCCTCATCAAGTTCAATTAGGGTTGCCCATATACTCTTGGGTAAGTGGCCATCCACCAGAGCCTTGTTGACCAACAGAGGTCACACCCTTAACCAGAACTGACTTTCTGTCTCCCAACAACCATCAGTTGTCAATAACTCTTCAGCAAGGGGGTATGATTCATGCCCACCTCAGCACTCCATGCTGGGCCCTTGTCTGACTTGAGCTGACTCAGGGCTTGGGTGTTCTGCCGCAACTGCAATGAGTTCCTACATGCAGTGCCCTGCTGTGTCCAGAGGATAGTGTGTCCTTGTCACCCACTGCCTCTGGCTCTTACCCTCTTTCCATCCCCTCTTCCTCAGCTACCCCAGAGCCCTGGGAGGAGAGCGTGTGTATAGGTGTACCACTTGGTGCTGAGCATTCCAGACTCTCATCCTTATCACGTTGGAACCAAATGCCTGAAGTAAGGTTATAGAAATGAATAAGACTAATCATAGTAGGAGGCACCAAACATACATTTCAATAGCAACGAGTTACCGACACCCTATACATTCTTCTATTTTTAGCCGCCGACTCTGATGTTTAACATTGGTGAGTTAGGTGTGGGTGGGTCCCAAACCCTTGTTTGACTCATCCAACATTTATTTGCCAATGAGTTTCTCCAGTTCAGTATCGTGTTGTTAGGTCTCATTTCCTGGTAGGGTAGGTTGAAAGTGGCCCCAATTCTTCATAACACCCGTGTCACATGATCGTTTCCCACGTGTGTCTTTCTGGGTCACTAGGGATTGGCTATAGGATATTCACAAGCATGGCCACCAGGAGAACTTGCAAATGGCTTGCTCACTGGGCTTTTTGGTGTCTACTGCCTGTTAAGGACATTCCTGGGTGGCCCGTGGAGAATGAGGGACATGTGCGTGTGACAGAGCTGGACCATTCTTGTCTCTCTCAAGGACAAGAGTCCTTCGGCAGCTGATCAAGTGGGCTCTGCAGTGTCACCGGTCCACTCAGACAACAGATGCCTTGTTGACCATCACTACTGCACTGGGGGACATTTGCAATGTCCATTACTGTGTCAAAGACAACTAGGACCAGATGAGTGGTACATACATGCTATTCCAGCACTCGGGACCAGGTGTGGTGGTACATACTTGCTATTCCAGCACTCAGGTGGTACAGGCAGAAGGAGAGCCGGTTTGAGGCTAGTCTGGTATAGAGACGGGATATTCTAAGATCCCTAATCAGCCAATCAGAAGAACAAGAAGCAATTGATGTGCCACCTTCAAAGGGCTTCTCATTGCATGGGAGAAGCGCATCCCCTCAACTACAGTCGCTGCACCTGCTGCCGCTGCTGGGAATTCTTAGTAAGTGCTTGCTTCATTTCTTCTGGGTGTAAACTCCCAACTTTACCCATGCACACTCAAGGGTGTGCACACCCATATACACTTAGAACATGCACAACCTCCCAGTGGATTCTATCTTTACCCCGTTTCACAGATGAGGGAACAGACTGGGAGAGGTTTCAGAGCTGGGAAGTGGGGACTTCAAGCAGTAGGCTTTGATGTGGCTTTGGGTAGAGTTTCATGCAGTGAGGTGAAAAGCAAGAAGCATGCGCATGGGCGGTTTTAACCTGCAAACAGATCAAGGTATCCGACAGCTGCTGGAATCAAGTTTCCCAAACCCAGTGACTGGTCTCATTCAGAGGACACAAAAATCCCAGTATATCAGCCTCAGGAAGATGCAGTTTGTAAAAATAATAATAATAATAATAATAATAATAATAATAATAATAATAATAA